GAAAGCGCCTCTCTCCAGAACTGCCATATTCGGGGGTTTTCTGGACCAGGCTGGCAGGGAAGGTGTGGCCGTGGCTGGAGAAGACCAAGATCTCCATCTCTTCCGCAGGGCAGCACGAAGCCAAGCGGTGATGTTGGTTAGGTGCTGGAGGAGCCTGTCCAGCAGCCCAAAGCAGCAGACCCAGAGCCTTTACAGGTCTTCAGCTGAACTTCGTTCCCCTCGAGTCCCCTTTCAGGGCCGCGTGATGCTGAACCTCCCAGTCACCAAGAGTTTTCCAGGGTGGGCAACCAGTCCGTGTGGCCAACTTGATGCACGGGCAACAGGGAACCAGGACACAACCCCTTCCTGGTTTTCCATTGCAGGTCACCTTCCAGGGCAGGTGTTTGGGGATGGGCATCCTGCTGTCCCGCGATGTGTCACCTCCTGGGAGCGGTTGCTCTCTGATAGGGACATTAATCCATGTCCCACCACTTCCCACAGATGCTGCTCGAGGACTCACAGCACGGAGATCAAATGGAAGAGAAAATCCAGCAGTACCGGCAAGTCAAGCTGGTGCCGGCGGTGGTGGAGCAGGACTGGTGCGTGGTCGTTTCCAACCTGCTGGCCATGCCCGAGCACGACACTCGGGAGAAGGTCCTGAAGACGGTGGGCGTGCTGATGGCCTTCTGCAGGGAGCGCTACCGGGGGGACCAGGCCCTCAGCACCACCCTCAGCCTCCTGCGCAGCGAGTACGAGGAGCTGGCGGCGGAGGAGCAGAGGGAAGGCGACAAAGACGGCTACTTCAAGGAACTTCTCGGCTCTGTGAATACCATCATTCAGGAATTAAGATGAAAACAGCTGTAGGTGCAGTTCAGTTCCAGAGCATTCAGGCCGGCGGCGTGAGTTTTGGTGGCACCAATGTAAATGCACTTCTGAATAAACTGCTGGACTAAATGAGAGCCCACCACCGGGCGCGTGTGCCAGCGGCTTCTTTATTAAAACATACGCGTTGGGGAGCGCGTTTTCTTTTGCACAGGTGCTGCTGGAGAGCCAGAGGTACGTACCTGAGAGGGGAGGAGGCAGAGGGTCACTGTACGCTGCCTGTCACCCTCCAGCCATGACACTCGAGACACGTGGTGGGGTGGTCGTGGGCCGTCGGCAGGGACGTTTGGGGGGGGGGGGGGGGAGGGCTGAGGGGGGTGGGACGGCCTCGGCGCTGCGCAAAGGGCAGCGTCCCCGCAGCTCTGCCCTTCGCCTTTCCCGGCGGTGGCCCGCGGTGTCTGCGAGCTGTGATTTGCTTCGGTAAGGCAGCTCGGCACTCGGACAGCACCCGTTGCCTGTGGATCGTTCTGCGCTCGTACACGTCATCTTCTCGCATTCTCCTTGTCTTTGGCGATGGCTTCCAAGACGATGACCTCCAGGGCCTGAGGCTGGCCAGCCAAGGACTTTTCACCCGTCACGTAGAGCATGCTCTCCTCTCTGTGCTGGGCATCGCCCCTCCTCCCACCTCTTCCAGGTGCAGCTTCTCCCCTCTTCCCTCTAGGCTCAGGTCCCTTCACCCGTGGGCCCCGTTGAGGTCCTCCTCACGCCGGGTGGCCTGAGGGGGATGTTCTGCTCTCTCCTCCTCGGGCCCCAGTCTGTCTCCCTGCGTCGTCCTTCCTCAGGTGAGGAAGAAACCAGTCTTGCCCTGGCCCTGGCCTGGAGGTGACTTCCACCTCCCCTGCCATTAGCAAAGATTATAAAAACTAAATTTTTCATTATTTTGGCTGTTTAATTTCAGGCCAAACCCCCTCCTAGTTCTGAACCCTTTCTGGGAAGAGGGTTGGGTGTTTTTTTAATAGAGATCAATTCCATTTCTCACAAGCCCTCCCAAGAGAAATGCAGAGGGTGGGATGATGCAGTGAGCCCGGGAGCTCCATGGTGCTGCCCTGTGCCTGGGGACGGGCACGTGTCCCCACAGCCCCCCTGCCCCAGGCTGTCCCCTCGGCAAGGATGGGCTCACCCTGGCCAGCGCTGGCACAGGCTGTGGCACTGCAGAGAAAAGAGGCGTGAAAGGCTGGGTGGTGGCCACTGATGGGAGAGAGGAGAGGAGAGGGGAGGAGAGAAGGGAAGGGGAGATGAGGAGACAAGGGGAGAGGAGAAGAGGGGAGAAAAGAGAAAAGAGGAGGGGAGGGGAGAGGAGAAGAGAGAAAAGAGAAAAAAAGAAGAGAAGAGGAGAGGGAGAGGGAAGGGGAGGAGAGGGGAGGAG